GGGGGGTGCTCGCGGAGTCTTGGGACCTCCAGGCTGGCCTCAAAGGCACTGTACAGCTGCAGAGCTCAGCCTCCTGCTTCCACCTCCCGGATGCAGGGATTTCAGACTGTACCACCACGCCCGGTGACGCTGTCAGCGGAGATTAACCCTCACCATGCTGTCCCCTGCCAGGGTCTAGAGTCACCAAGAACTCCAACCTCTGGGCGTGTCTATGAGGGAAATCCTAGTTGGGTTTATGGGGGAAGACATCCATCTTAGCTATGGGTGGTAGGTACCGTCCCATGGGGTGTGGTCCTGGGGGCATAAAAAGGAACCTGTGAGCTGAGGACCAGAGTTGCTCTCTGCTTCCTGCCGCAGGCCCTACTCCTGAGCCAAAAGAAACTGTTCTCTTCTTTTTTTTAACCATAGAAAAGAGCTTCTAGGGCAACTCTGGAAGTGCCATGGAGGTTACACAGGGGGTTCAGACATGTCTTTTACTTTAGGGTTTTTTGGTGAGAGTCCTAGGAAATTGCAGGTTTACACTGGGAAAGGAGAAAAGATGTTCCCTCCCTCCCTCTCTCTTTCTTTCTTTCTTTCTTTCTTTCTTTCTTTCTTTCTCTCTCTCTCTCTCTCTCTCTCTCTCTCTCTCTCTCTCTCTCTCTCTTTCTTTCTTTCTTTCTTTCTTTCTAGCAGGCTGTCACAGGCTGGCCTAGAACTCAATCTATAAAGCAGGCTGGCCTCAAACTCACATCGACCTGCCTGTCCCTTTCTCCTGAGTGCTGGGATTAAGGGTGTATGCTACCACATACATGGCTGACCATGGAGCTCCAGAGATCCTCACCTCTGCCCCTATCCCCGCCAGACTTGAGATTACAGATGCATGGTGCAGAACTCAGTTTTTATCCTGTGCTGGGGAACCAAACTCCGACCCCTCAGGCTTGTGTGGCACATGCTTTGCAGACTCAGCTACTTCCCCATCTCTTCCTGCTGTTTCTGATATCACCCCAGCCCACAGTGAAACCTCCCAGGAAAAACAAAACAAAACAAAACATAACAGTCTAGAAGCAGCCAATGTTTTCTTAGAGATATATGGATTTTGGCCCTCTATTTAGGAAGACCTCAAAATATACTTCAAATATTTATCAAAAAGTTTAGTAGAAAATTATAAAAGATTTGATCATCTTCCCCTCCTACAATCCACCCATCCATCCATCCATCCATCCATCCATCCATCCACTGATTGTTTTTCGAGACAGCATTTCTCTGTGTGTAGTCCCGGCTTTCCTGGAACTCACTCTGTAGATCAGGCTGGCCTCAAACAGAGATCTACCTGCTCTGCTTCCCAAATGCTGGGATTAAAGCCTGTGCCACCACCACCACCACCACCATCACGTAGCCCCCATCTTTTATCTTTAAATTTTAGCAGAAAAAAACCCAAATAAACAAACAAAACCTCTATAGGTGTTAATCTAATGCTCCAAATCACTACTTTAAAATGTCAAGTTAGTAGTGATGCATGGCCCCGTGGAGAGTGGTGTGTGTGTGTGTGTGTATCTAATGTGACCCATCATGTCATCATCTCTGTCCTTAATATGCTTCTTATTTCGTGGTGACAGAGTCATATAAACTTCACACACCGTGTAAAAAGGCAGACAAGTGGGTCTGGAGAGATGGCTCAGCAGCTGCTCTACCAGAGGACGCAGGTTTGATTCCCTGCACCCAGAAGGCTGCTAACAACTAGCCAGTTTGAGGGGATCTGACACCCTCTTCTGGCCTCCGCAGGAACCAGGCACATACATGGTGCACAGACATACATGCAGACAAAACACACATGAAATAAAATTAAAGGAAAAATAAGCAATTTAAGAGTGAGTGCATGTTAGGAGTACTGCAAACCTGAGGAGCTAGGAGGGCTTCTGTGAACGACATACATTTAGACCTAAAAACACGCGGGCATTAGTCAGACAAAAGTGAAGGCCGGAGGCTTTTTCAGAAAGAGGGAACGGCATGTATAGACTTGACAGCAAGTAGAAGTAGGTCACATTTAAAGAACAGAATGTTTTACCAAGTCTGGGTCTCACAGTGCTCAGCGGGTGAGGCAAGGGAGGCCTTGTAATGGGTTGCATGATGATAGAAGCCCTTCTAAGTTATGTTTACAGAGTCTAATGAGCGATGGACGCAAACAAAGGTCCGAACAGAGGGATGGAGGGATGGTGTCCTTAGAAAGACTCCTAGAGCGTCGGCGTGGGTGTGGAGGCTGCTGCGGAAGCTAGCCAAGCTGGAGATGAGGAGCCCTGATAGCCACTGTACCTGAACTGACCTGAGGGGCTGGAGGTTGAAGGTGGGCAGTGGACATGGAAGGAAGGTAGGGTTGTGATCAGCGGGGTGGGGATGGAGGTGGAGTAAGGATTCTCACAGCCTTGAGCGATGGAGTGGATAACCGAGAACAAAGGACACTTTCAGTGAGAGCTGATTCTGAGGGCCTGTGCTGGTGAGGGCCTTGGGCTACAATTACCTGGAAAAGGAGGCTCAAACACAACCTCTGGATGCATTCCTGGAGGACTCCCCAAGGCAGGGTTAGAAAGAAGTTTACCCCCAGTGCTGTCCCTGGTGAACAGACTTGGTGGACAGGGCTCTGGAACGCATGGCTCTCTGGCTCTCGGAACGAATGGGGTCAAATGCAGACAGAAGGCCAAGCCTTCCTAGCAGCCCTTACTCTGACTTTGGTTTCTCCAGGGAATGTATTCTATATTCTCATGCCAGACAGTTCCTAAGGACTGTCATTAAACAGAGACCAAGGCAATTTGCAGCGAGTCACCAGAAGTCACAGTTCCCAGAAGTGGCTAGAGAGATGGCTCAGGGGCTAAACATGTTGGCAGTGTAAGCCTGATGATCCAAGTTGGAGCCCTAGAATACATAAAAAAAAACTGGATATTGTGCTGGGCGGTGGTGGCACACGCCGCCTTTAATCCCAGCACTCGGGAGGCATAGACAAGCGGATCTCTGGGAGTTAGAGGCTAGCCTGGTCTACAAGAGCCAGGGCTGTTACACAGAGAAACCCTGTCTCTAAAAACCAAAAAAAAAGAAAAAAGAAAAGAAAGAAAAAAGAAAAGAAAGCTGGCTGTTGTGCTGTGTCTGTGTAAGCCCAGCCCTCCTACAGTGAAGTGGGAGGCACTGGCGGAAGGAATGGGTCAGAAGCTTGATGACCAACCAGCTAGCTTAGAGTACACAGTACTGCAGCAGATATGAGAGACCCCGCCTCAATAAGGTAAGTAGCGGAGAACAGACTCCTGAAATTTGTCCTCTGCCCCCTACAGCTTACACGTATGTGTGGTGTGTGTGTCTCCTCCCCAGCTCACACTCAGCAGTTAGAGGCTAGCGCTGTACACCCTGAGAAAAACAGCAAAACTCCGCAGCATCCAGGCCAGTGGCAAAAAGACCTTAGTTTTATGGGGACATATTTGCTTTTAGGTACTTGAGTATATAATGAGTTCATGCTACCCATAGAATGAATGCACACGACACTGGCTTCTGCAGATGGCGTGGAGGGAGGGAGCAGCCAGAATGGTTAAGATGAAGATACAACTTGGTGCCCAGGCATTGTCCTTAGGGCAAGAGACTCACCCATAAGATTGCCTCCAGGGAGGAGCTAAGACTTTCCCCCAAGCCCCACACTTCTGACTCTCTGATCTTTCAAGGTAAAGCTCATAGACATCACCCCCTTTCTCTTGTCCCCACCCTCCTTCCTTTGAATTAGGCCAGTTATCACTGATTTATCAGATAGACAGAGTTAAGAATTAATGTATTAGTCATTCCTCAGGACCTAGGAGGCCGGTCAAGCACTTGGGAACCCCCAAGCCCCGCCCCCTAGGAAGGAGCCACCCAGCCGCCCTTTCAGGTCTCCTAGTAAAAGGCCTATTTCAGGGGTCTGGTCTGAAGCTCTGGAAAGGGAAGGAGGTGTTCCCACAGAAAGTCTGAGGTCACTAAGGAAGAGTAAGTCTGGGATCTGTTTTTCAGCCCAGTTCTGGCTGACAACAATGAAAAACTGGTGCTGACTTCTTTTAGGGGTATGTTTTTTGAAATCTATATGAAAAGAAAAAATCCCTATTCTATCACGTTTGCTGTTCTTAATAAGACATTCTCCCTGACTTTGATGTGACCATCTACACATCTGCTCCAAATCATTAAATTACTCTTCTAGGGCCACATATTGTAATGGTGCCTTTAAAAACACGCTAACAAATGTTACATGTGGAACCCTCTACAGACTACCTACACCTGGGCCTACTCGGTTTGAAGCTTTAAAAAAAAAAAAGGGGCAGCTCAAAACCCCAGCAGCAACTGAGGAGTTGGCCTGCAAGGCCTTTGCTGGTGAGATAAAGAGAAGGCTTTTCTCCAGCCCCCCCCCCCCTTCCCCCAGGAACACACCTTTTGTGTGCTCTGCCTAACAAAGGAATTTCCCAATTTCGGAGTGGAAGGAGGGAAAAGTGTGGTGGCTACAGGCTCGTACAGAGCTGGCTTCCCACCGCAAAAGGTTAAATACAAACAAAAAGCAAAAATGAAGCTGGGATTCTCGGATACACTGGAGGAAACACCAAGGCTTTCAGTGTTAGCAATAAAAATATCAATAACCAAATCCCAAAGGACTCGGGATTCCTTTAGTTTCTGTTTGGCATGAGAAGGGTGTTTCCTTTGTCCTGTCCTTATCTGCTGCACTCCGGTAGTGGTTTTACTTCTTGTAGTCAAATTACTATTTTATTGTTGCTCAGCACAGAACGGTATACATGGTAGCCTTACATATGTAGAATATTAGAATGGACCTTTTTGTAGTGATTGTTTTGGATGAGTGGTGGGCCTCCCCCACCCCCAACTCAGAAGCTGTCTCTTCAGCTGTGAAATTCAATGATTTTGCAAAGTGGGTTCAAATGGGTGCTTTGTTTTAAACTATTGGTTTATCTGGCCAAGAGGTTTCTCTGAAGCCCTTATTGTAAAAACAGAAACGAGAGAATTTGCTAGAAATTGTTATCTTTTACTGTTTGGTTCTTTCTGGTTTTAAAAGCAGTTGCAATGTTAGCTCCTGTCCTTTGTGCAAATGATGAGTGGGACCGGGAAACCAAACTCCCCCAGCCCAAGGGTTGACCAAGATGCTGGGCTTGACAGAGCCCTGCTCACAAATCTTTGGCATTACAAATCCGTGGGGGCCGCTGCACAGCTGGATTCCTAGGATAAGCAAGTTAGACTTTGGTTTAGGGGGCACAACTCTTGTAACCATTTAAATGCTGTTTCCCTAAGCTTCCAGGGCTGTGTAGGGAGTGGGGGGAGGGGCAAGAGAGCACTTTAAGTACAAAAGATCTCAAACCAACCCACGACCTTCCTATGACATCTGCAAGCTCAAATTCCATATATTGTGAGAGGCCGCCAGCCTATCGGGTTCTCAGATTAGCCGGTCCTTGTATTCTCTTCAGTGCACATAATTATTTTTTTCACATGCATATTAACAACGGCCTACCTTCAGAAGAAGGAAAAGGCTTCCTTTCAAATGAAAGCAAGTCCAAGCAAGGTAGAGACCCAACACAGAGTGTGCAGGGTGGCATTGTTCTCTCCAGCTCCAAGAAGATGAGAGTTTCAGTTTCCTCATCTTGTAACACTGGTACACCTAATGCTGCGGTTGGCAGAATCTGCAGCCGGCGCAGGTTCCTCCTAAACCTGTGCAGATATGCATGGCGACTTGTGCGCATCGTGGCACAAGCGCAAGGCTGAAACTCGAGAACTCGCATGCGAGACAATAATTCAAGTCATTTGCATGAAAAGTCTCAGCGAGCACAAGATCTTTTACAGTGCACATGCTACCGGTGCCCTAACCCGGAGAACAATGGCCTCCTCAGCGGAAGTTAACGCAGGAGAATACTGAGATTTAAAAGGAAAACTTCTCTGGTCACTATGCAGACATTCACCAGTCTGTTTTAAAATAAAGCACACAGGGATACTTCTGCCAGGATTCTCCACGGCCATTCCAGTGATAGTGTTGTCTTCAGAGTGCAAGCAAACAGGAGCGAGCCTTTTTTAGGAGGTAATGGTGGCAGGTTTTTTTTTTTCAGATCTTCCATTTTGTCCTGCTTCCAAGTCAGTACAATTAGCTCAACATGGAGGTTTCTCTTGTCTAAACAACAACATCAAAAAAAAAAAATAGAAATCTTTTCAGTGGCGTGCTCGACTGTGCTCAATATGGGCACCAGGACAGGGCTGGAAAACAGCATACTTCATCTGGCGCAGAAGGAAGCGCTGCACCTCCGGCTCAGATGGCTTACGATTATCTCCCTTCCTGGCCTTTGGCTGGGTTTCTGTATGTATCGTTTTGCCTGTGTTCCGTAAGCCATGACCACCTGCTGTATGTACAACTTGTGCTTGTTACATTTGTGCGCCATTTCCCTGATGGAACTTAAAGACCCAGCTATAACTGCGTGTTTACTCATATCATCCCCCCCCCCCGTTAAAAAAAATACACACCATACATGAACCGAACATGCCATGCTTCAATCTGGCCCCAGTGGCTTTTTCTCTGAAAGCAAAAACGTGTGTCTTTTACACCAGGGCTTTCTCCCCACCCCAGGGGTGTCTTCCATTCTTTTGTGGCTCAGTTGAAGGCGAAAAGGGCTCCAAACCACTAACTAACAGAAGGGAGCCCTTTCTTCCACCTCCTGGGAGAATCTCAGATTGAATTTATCTGAAGATAGCTTGCTCTCTTCTTACTTATTTGCCACCATTACGAGGAGGACAGCACAACCACCACCTTGGCTTCAAGATCCTGGGTAGAGAGGCTCACGGGCATTTTTTTTTTTTCAACCATCTTTGGCGAGGCCTTGCTTCCTTCCACTCCAGTAAGTCGCGGCTTGGGGCCATGGAAAAGGACTAGGTGAGAGTCTCAAGTGTCGTTTGAAAAGACAGCAAAACAGCCCCCGCTCGGCCCCGTCCCCAGCACCGCCACCAGCACCTCCGGGCCGGGCCGTGCCGTGCCGCGCGCCAGCAGCCGTCTACCCCGGCGAGGCGCCGCGGGCCGGTGGGGCGTCGCGGCCGCGGGCTTCGCGCTCCGCCGCCCGGCTCGGGCTCCCTTCCCCCACGGCGCCCCCTCCCCCTCGCCGCGCTCCCTTTTGTTCGCTCGCCGCCCGGGCGGCCCGAGCGCTAGGCCCCGGCGTGGCCCGGGCCGAGCCGCCGCCGCCGCGCGGCCTAGAGCCCGCGCCCGGGAGCGGGGCCGGCGTCCGGGCGCACGGCGAGGCCGTGGCGGCGGGGAGCCCCAGGGTGGCGAGGCCCCAGCTCCCGCTCTCGCACACAGACCCCGGCGGCGGGGAGGCGCGACACGCCCGTAGCATGGAAGCCGCCGCCGCCGCCGCTCGCACTGCAGCGGGCGCAGCAGCAGCAGCCGCCGGCGGCGCGCGGAGCAGAGGTCGTCCGAGCCGCGGCCCGGACACCCGGGCTTGAGCGCTGCGGAGGCCCGCCCGGCCAGGGGGTGGGTGTGCGCCTGGGACAGGGGGCCGTGGGGGTACGGGCGGACGTGGGCGGGAGGGGGCATCGGGCCCCTCGTGCCACCCCGCCGGTCACGGCGAGCGCGAGGCTCAGGCCCCTCGGCCTGAGTGCGGCGGCCTGTCCCACCCTGGCCTTGGGGACGGCCGGCCTTCGCGCCCAGCCAGCTTCTTAAGGGGGGGCCCGAGGCAGGGCCGGTGTTGCTAGGCCCCACCGGCTCCAGAGGGGGCCACGTGAGCGCGGGCTCGCCTCCCCCGCCAGAGCTGGTTGTGCACAGATGATTTTCCCAAGGCCTGGGTGCCCCCTCTTTCCCTACTGACCCTTGACTTGTCCCCTTGAGCCCCACACCTCACCAGTGTACTACCCAGAGGTGAAGGGATTTGGACTTCTCCCCCCCCCCCCCAGGTGCTTGAAAGAAGAGAAGGTTGGAGGAGGAGGAGGAGACTGGGGGGGCTGCTGGTGGTGGTGGTGACAGGGCTGGGAGAGAGAGGAGAAGGACGGAAGGGAGGAGGGGGCTGGGTGGGGTGGGGGTGACAGGCAGAGAGGAGCCTGGTCAACAAGCCAGCACCACTCTGCTAGGAGGCCAGGCCGGCTCCTGCAGCCGACGCATCCTGTGTGAGGAGACACACATAGATTGCTTTCCTGGGGGCTCTTTGTCAGCCACCAACACAGAGAACACACACTGACATACACGTACACAAAGATCTGAGCCAGGTTGTGGGAGGTAAGTGGGGGAAAGAGAAGGAGGGGGAAAAACAGTGTCTGCGGTGGGCTTCGGGCTGGAGGGGAGGGGGATGAGCCCCGAGAGGCTGTGGGGGGCTCGTGAGGTGAGCCTTTCCAGGGTTCTGTGCTCGTGTGGAGGGGGCACACACAATGACCTTTCCCTCCTCAGGAAGCCCTAAAAGGGAGAGGCCACCCCCAGCGAGCGACCACCCCGTGCTGATGGTTTTCAGGGACTTGTTGGCAACTCAGCGAGGGTTGCCATAGCTTTTTTATGTAGGGTGACCAGAACCGGCTGAAACTGGTTTGAGGCAGATCAGCTCCTGAACACAATGCAGTCACTGAGCTACTACAGTGGGATAGCAGCTTCCTCCCTTCATGGCAGCCAAAAGCAGAGGAGCTTGCAGGAAGGTACCATCCCAACCCAGTATGTTAATGCACACTTTAGACACCACACAGCACTGGTACGTGACTAATGGAGCCCTAAAAGAGCCTGTGTAGGGATGATGGGCGAGAGGTGCAGGTTTGCAGTGGCTGAGACGAGTTGGGCTGTTCCTGCCTTTTGCTTTTGCTTAAGGGATGGACAAGGAGCTGAGATTTATGACCCTTATTAAAGAAAAAAAAAGTATGTGTCTTGTTAGGGTGGGGACACTTGGTTTGTGCAGTCTCTCTCTCTCTCTCTCTCTCTCTCTCTCTCTCTCTCTTTCTCTTTCTCTCTCTCTCTCTCTCTCTGTTTTTAAGGAAACAACCAGAATGAACTGACGGATTTGTGATGGTGGTTTGTTGCTGGAGAATGCTACTTTGCATGCCTTTTTCTCTTGCAGCCTATGTTCTGTTTTGTGCTTTTCCTTTTAGATGCTACTAAAGGGTGTTGGGGATTCTTGGGACTATTATGAAGGCCAAAAGGTAACAATATTGTTCTGGGAAATGAGCGTAGATGCGATCCAGTGATGTTGTCAGCCATACATGCTGTCTTTTTTTTTTTTTTTCTTCCTTGTAGGCCTGTTGACTGGGGCTGCTTTTAACCCTTTCATATTTGCAGAGAATGCAACCGTGTGACAGTAACTGAGCACTGGTCCAAAGTCTTTTCAAAAGGTCAAGGTTCACAAGGTGAGATATGCTATTTTTAGCATGAATTTAAATATTAATTTGCACATCCATTCTGACACAGACCGCCAGTGGATTTGGTACCCTGGAGATAAGTGGGGTTCAGAGTGGAGACCAAATACCTTTCATGTTGTCCATGCTTAGTGGGTTCCACTGACTTTTTTGATGGTGTTATCCAGGCGAGATCTGAATGCCTTCATTAAATCGCATGTGCCTGGGCATTTGAAAGAGTCAGGCCTGGAAAGGCATGTCTGGAGGGCGGTAGGCGGTTGGGCCTTGTGGAGAACGCACGGGTTTTGCATAGAAGCAGTCCACATGGCACATTTTGCCCACAGTTGTAAGAAAAGGAAGGGCTTCATCATTCCCAAGTAGCCCAGCCAGCTTTTTAGGATCTGAGGAGCCTGGAGGTAGATTGTCTTTTGTTCATTTGTCACTTCTCCTTCTCCACGCTCTCCGTGTTGACCTGAAAGGATTTTCAGTCAAGTGGTGGAATGTCCTTTATTGATTTTGGGGGCTGTCGACAGTGAGTTCGCCAATGGATTATTTGTGCCATACATCTCAGTGTGGAGGACTAGCGAAGGACTAGAAGGAACCCAGGTCTGTCCGGCTTTATCTGTGCAAAAAAAGAAAAAAAATGACTGTTAGCTTGCAGCTTTCCTGTAGTGGGTGGTAGAAAATGTCTAATGCTTTCCTGCATTTAGAATTGGGCTGGTAGAAAAATGTAAACTAGAGCTAGGAGAGGAGGAGAGGAGAGGAGAGGAGAGGAGAGGAGAGGAGAGGAGAGGAGAGGAGAAAGCAGAGGAGGGCAGCAAGTCAGGGAAGAACAAAGGCTGTGGGAGCTTCCAGGGGAACACTAAACATTTTGCCTTGGGGTTCCTTGTGCAAAGAACTGCAACTTCCCCAAACAGGAAACCAGTCACACCAGAGTCAGGTCCAATATGATCTCAGCCAACAGAGCTGGTTCTGCCTTTCTGCTGGTTTGGTAAAAGTACAGTCAAGAGGAGCCCATGGGAGACCTGATTGCAAATACATTTTCTCTCTTTGAAGTGCGTATCATGTTCCTCTCCGGCTCCAGCAGACTAGTCTGTTCAGAAATGCAGAGGATCTTAGAGCTGGTGAAGTGTGCTGGCAGTGGTGGGCAGTCTGTCAGCAGTGAAGGGCGTTAAGTACGCAGGGGTTTTTATTGTTGGAATTGGGGGGGCGGGCTGCAGAGAGTCGCCCGTGTGCTAGCACTGGCAAAAGAGGGGAGACTAGAGTGCTTGGTTAGCTTGGAATATTTTATGTAGTATTTAATAGAGATGAATGTGATCTCAGACGGATATACCAGCAAATGGCTTCCACGATGGAAGAAGGTCCTTTGCAAATCATGTGCTAAAATTGGTTTTCAGTTCTACCTCGTTTCCGACGGCCAGAGTTGTGTGGTAGGGAGAATGCTTGTCGAGCATATTCCAGTCTATACTGCATGGCGCGTTGGCCCCTGTGTTTCTGGTGCCAGCTAAAACTCAGATGGCTAATGTGATAAGCCTTAATTAGCCTAATACAATAAGCTATTCTATCGTTTAGTCCTCCGTTCCTGTCTTTCCAGGGGCAGGGGTTTTATTTAACTTTCACTGCTCGCCCCTTACAATGACCGTTTCTTGAGGATGTATTTTAAAAGCCCTTTTTAGGGCCTGCATGTCATGGAATGTTCTGGTCTGGTGTACTCTCTTGGTGGTTTTAGCTTTGTTCTCCACACACACACCCCTCCCGCCCCCTCTCCCCCTCCCCCCAGAAGCCTCTCCTCAAAATAGCATTTGTTTTGCATTTAGGCCAGTCTTTCCAGCTGCAAATGCTGTTGGAGGCTGGGGAGCTGGTTCTCCCAGGCAGCAATCATGAGCTCATCTTGGATTGGAGCTGGCCTCAGGTGTTGATCTCAGGCTGGGCTGTAACAAGGTAGCAGGCCCATGTCTCCTGGGGGGGGGGGGGGGCAGAGGAGGGGGGAAGGGACCCAGAGCGGTCTGGAGAATAAGCAAGGGCATGTTCCTTTCTGAGAGAGCCAGGAGGGAACACCATGACACCCATATTGGAGCTACAGCTGGCGCCTGCTCGCTGTTTCCTGAGGCAGTCTCTGAGGAGGACCTTCGGGCCTTCCCTGTCTGCAGCAGGAATGTGCGGGTTTGGCGAGAGCACACTGGAAACAGAGTGCAACTGGGTGGTGAACACTTGCTTGTTTTCTTCCTTTGCCTGCAATTGACTCATATTTTCCATGTTAAGGAGCGCTCAATCCAAGGTACTTTTTTTTTTTAACAGCTCAGTCTAACCTGGTTCAGGGTTTCATTCTGTGTTCATAGTCTTTCTCACTTTCCTTCCCTCCTGCCCTTCCTCCCACCCTCTCCTCCTTTCTCCCAAACACCCCACCCCCCTTGGAGACAGGGTTTTGATATATAGTTCTGGCTCCCCTCAGACTTCATCCTTCTGCCTGGACTCTTGAGTGTTGAGGTAGTGCCGCCACACCCATCCAGCCATGCAGCTCATTTTTAAGGAGTCTGGGAAGGGGGTAGACCACATTTAAGTGGATTTTTTTTTTTTTGCTTACACTTTTGACTAGACTGAGTTACAGTGTTAGGATTTGGTCTCTGCCCTCCCCCCTTTCTTTGAAAACCTTCTCGAGCTTCTGTGTTGTGTGGGTTTTGAGTGACCTTGCCCATGTCCTTGGTGGAACTCAGCCTTGCTAAGTAAGGCCTGTGCAGAAGTTGCCCTGACGTGGAACCTTAGAAAGAAGTGGCGGTACTGGTGACGAGGATCTGAAGGACATTTGGGACCGCTCCTTCCTCAGCCCCCACAGATCTCTTACCCCTCCAAGTGTTAGAACTGAGACAGCAGCCCTCAGAGACAGCGGCACAGAAGCCCCAATATGTTGGTGTTAAGTTGTTTTAGGGATAGTCACTAATCAAGGTATGGTTAAAGGATGTAAATGTTTAATTTATACACCAGTGACATTTGCTCAAGAGCACCACTTGTTAGGTTTTGACATGTAAATAGAGCCACGTATGAGTTGACGTAATCCCTGCAGAATAATTCCATCATGACGAAACTTCTTGCTGCCCCTTTGAGGCAAACTGGTCCCCCACCTGAACCCCTGGCCACCGAAGTTTCCCTGTAGTTCTCCTTTTTCCTGGCCATACTGTCTGGGTTTTCCCAGAATGTTGTATAAATGGCGTCTTCCACTTGGCAAGATGTAGTCGAGATTCGTCCTTACTGTTTTGTGTGTCAGTTTTTGTCGCTGAGTACTAGTTCACTGTGTGGATGCACCACAGCTCGTTCGTCTTTCTCTGCCTAAGAGCACTGTTTTTTCCAGTGTCAGGTGATTGTGGAAACACAGAGCTACCATAAATACCCGTGTACAGGTTTTGTGTCAGCAGTTTTAGTTTTTTACTTTTACTTTTGTAAATACTCAGCATTATCTGGTACATGTATATAAATTTGAAGTTTAAGTGAAATAAATTCAGCTCACTGTGTCATCCAGAAGAGATCCGACCTTGACAGCTGCAGTTGAGACTTCCCAGAGAAGAGAGCTGGTGACCACGAAGACACTAGCGAGATGGCCGTGATAACAGAGCTGTAATGGGCTGACATGCTTTATCACCCTGAACTAATCGGAATTAGCCAAAATGGAAACAAAGAGCTGCAAGTGGTAAAACAGCCTTTTATTTCTTCCGGCAGTTATTTTTCATCTCAAGACGAGTTTGGCAGTCAGTTCAGTGAAACACCACACAATAATAGAACTGAAGTTTTGGAAAATGATACCGAAGATCTCTATTGAAATCTTGGTTGTCTAGAGATAGTTTTCTTCAAAAATGCCTACCATTTGAAGTCACTGGATACCCTGGAAGGAGGTGGATGCATTTGGGCACTGTCATGGAAATGGAGCGGAGAAAATAAGCTCTTTTTTGGGGGGTACGTCTTCCTTATGTGTAGCCCAGGCTACTGAAGTTGGTTTCTAACCCTTAGTGTTAGATTTTTTTCCTGTTTTAGTTAAACTTCTTTGAGTTCATGAAGGAGGAAGGGAGGGCTGAGGATAAAATCACTTTCTCGGTCAGGAAGAATAGGCAGAGACTGGTTTGGGAGGTGAGCCCAGGAAAGGTCAGGCTATGCAAGTGTGAAGGTTCTTGCCTCAAGGTACCAGAGACTTCATTGTTTTTTTGAGCAGCAGGCATCTTGCCAGGTTCTGGGAATGCTGAGGAAAGAGGAAGCCAGAGAGCAAAGAGTAGGAAGTAGCCCATAGAGTCCTAGAACTGTGGCCCGGCATCTACTGCCATTGAGCCCTCACGAGGTGGAAACCTGAACCTGGAAAGCCCTGAGTGTGTGAGGCTGGCCCGGGTTCAGGAAGAGCACGCGAGCAACGGAGCAGTGAAGGTACAGAGAAAGCCTGGTAGGCATGTGGTAGCCATACTGATGCACAAGGCAGGGAAGGTCCAACAAGACTGTTTGGGATCTTTCTGGATAGTCCTCGTGATCTGGGCACTAGTATTAGCAGAAGGATTTAGCTTTCATCCTCAAAGTCTTGTGGGAATACCTGGAAATTGAGTGGAAGCTGTTGAGGGTAGGGGCAGGGAGATCAAATGGGGACACCTGCAGCAATTTAGGGGAGAAAGTCTACGGCTTTACGTGGAAGGCTGGGCGCACTGTTTGTGAGAATGGAGTGGAGGGGCAGGTTACACCGGGACCAGTCACATGTGGTGGTGCCTGACTGGATGTGGGGAGCGATGGGGCAGGAAGACTGAAGGAGGGTTCTGGAGGTCACGTGGATTTCTTGGCACCTGGTCTTTTCTGTTTTGAGGTGACCAAGTCAGAAGAAGAGATGGGAAGGGACTGGCGCTGATGAAGGGCCCTGATTTGCTGATTTCAGGTTGGGCACAGTTGCTTGCGATGGGGCCCTCTGCCTCTTAGCTCTTTTGGTGTGGCTAACTGGGCCAGAGGTCAGATTGGGCGGATCATAGCTCCCAGTGGAGGAACCAGTTTGA